TGTAGGGGTTTACACAAGCTTGATTCCAGTTAAAAGAGTTCCTACTGTGCCTACAAAGGCACACAGATCATTGCACCTGTTTTTAAGTCATGTCTGGCATGAGTTTAAGAGGAAGAAAAGTCAGTGCCCTTGCTGAGCAGGCAGAAGAAAAAGAAAAAAGCAGGCAGCATAAAAATGCAAATTAAAGATGATTACCATCTTAACTTAATCTTTCCCTGCTTTGCGAAATCTCAGTTTTCTTTTCGTTAGCCCACAAGTAAGTAGAAAAATAATTGCTAGGATCTAACCCAATCTTAAAACATCAGCAAGGGGACAGGATTTATATAGTACTGGTATTAGTTTCATCTACAGTACAGGTCTATTTAAAAAGAACTAGTATATACTATTATTTTGTAGGCAGAATCCCAAACAATTAGAATTCAGTCTCAAAATCTGTAATATTACATACTTCACCAAATTAGTGCTCTCACTTAAAAAAATGAATGAAAACCAACACAGAGTATAAACCATATATTTCTGAGCAAATATCATATATAGTTGTGTGTTGACTATCATTAAACCACTAAGAAAATAACAGCAAAGAATCTGAAAAAATATATTCATGAAAATCTTTGAAGTCCCACATTACATTTGAAATCGTTTTGATTATAGAAAAAGCTGCAAACCTTACTTCTTTTGAGCTTATTCAGTTTGCATCTTGTACAACTTTTACAGTGTATAACTGGATAAGTATTGATGCATAAAGATGTAATTCACCAGTGTTGATCATAACCAATATTGAAATAAATAAGCATACTGAGATCATACAAACTGTGTATAGAGAACTCATTCTAATTATGCATGATCAGAGGGATTCAAGTAGAAAGTTACTCTATGAAATTTCCAGAAGAAAAACATATCTTAGAAAAAACACTCAACACCTCTGAGAAATTTTCTTCTGACATTAGCATTAATCTTATAAACCCAAGCTGAAGTTAGAAAATAAAATGCTTAAATGTAAATGCTAAAACAAGTAGATAAAAAAAAATGTGCTTCACATTTATAAACAACAAGCTACATTTTCAGTTTTCAGATGCAGTTGCCTAAGCAGGGATCCTGAAGACTTTAACTTTAGCCTTTTGAAAGTTAAACACTAAGTTAATTGTCTGTTACCTTTGATTCTGCTTATCCAAGGTACCAATTTTAGAACGATCCATCTGTCCAAGATACCTGCTTTTATTCAGTCTATCAAGACTGGTTTCTGTTTTTCTTCCTCATCAGGAGGGGAAGAATATATGCATGGCCATCTTAAATCTGACAGGGAATTTTTGAATGGGTCAGATTAGGTGTGATGAGTTGGGTCAAATCAATAAGTATTTCTGGATGTCTGTATCCCAATGGAAATTATGGACCATAGTGTGTTTGTCCGCTTGTCCATTTGATAGGGCACAAGCTAGTGTCCCACAAAACCAGCAGAACTACTCTTGTTGTTGAGCACAAAAATGAACTTTCATACAGGGCATTTATACTGCACAGTCAAAGGATGTGAATTGTAATATACATCAAGTAGGAGCGTACTCGATCTATCCTCTTGCGTTTCCCATGTGTGAAGAACATACCTGCAGTGTGGGCACAGCAGACATCAAAATAAGATGGCTTAATGGGAAAGAAAAACACCCAACATCACAGTTCAGCTGGAGGAAACAATAGCTCTGCTGAACTCAGTGGAGTAAGAGCTCCGCATGCCATGTTCTCTTGAGAGATGTACAAACTGAGACAGCAAGAGGAGCAAGAATTACCCATTTTCTTTTTAATTTCAGCATTTTCACTGCTTGTTTTATCACGACACATTAGAGGTGTTAATGGGTACCTCTCCCATGGCAAGTGTTATGAATGAGGTAGCACTTTTACAATAAAACTTTTATTTAAACTCACTTTTAAGGTGCTCCCTTTTCTTTGGAGAGAAAGTGAGATAGAGACTGTTGTTTTTCTGATATATTCTGAGAAATGCTTAGGAAATGTCACTTAATATTCAAGACAGAAAGGGAGAGCACTCAATGCCCACATCTGATATCCTGTTAGTCTGTGTCCTTGAAAGATAGTATTCTACAAGGAAAAATTGTGTAGTGCTGAGGTGGGGCTCCCTTGCGTCTCAAAACATCAGGAATAAGTGTTTTTAATGGACGATTTCCCCACTACCACCACTGTTATTGCTCTGTAGGAAACTGCCATCTGCTGTGACCTACATGTTGTTGTAGCAGAAACTCATATTTCATTTGCTGGCCTGCATGTGTGCTCATCTATCTGCAGCGTGACACATTTAGAAAATAAATAATACCTGCCAGAGGGCCTTGTTAGCTTTTCACATTGGTTCAATTAGGGTCCCTTTCCTTCCCCACCTGGTGCTGTGCTAAAGGCACTGCAGAGGACACAGAGCTGCTGCTTACTGATGAAGTGCAGTAAACATCTGCGCAGAGCTGCTTGTGCTGGCTTGGTTCACGCGTTTGCTTTGCAAGGCGCTGTCAGCCCCAAGTCCTCTGAAACGGTGCCAGAGTTCGAAGAATCCTGAGGACTGTTTCAAAAAGATATGCTCAATTTTTATGCTTTCTAGGAGGCTCCAAAGACACCTTCTTGATCCATCCAGAATCGTTCCTTTCAAAATTGTGGATTGTGAGGAGGGGATGGTGAGGGCCCAGCAGGTTGGTTATTCCCATGTGTCCTGGAACCGGGGCTCTCTGAGGGACTATCAACTACCAGGAAGCACCACTTTGGGCACTGGCAACACTACTGATGAGTCTTTCCTTAAGAAACCTTGCAGTGTTATTAAAGGCACAATTTTAGTTGTGAAAGGCTTAAATGTGGAGAAGGAAATGTTTCAGCTCATCCGGGAGGAGAAGTCCAGTTATTTTTTGATGCTGCCGGTGTCCAAAGCACCTCCGGATGCACAGGCGGCACAGCTGCATCAGGGAGAGCGGCCCTGCAGAAAGAGCAGGGGAAGAGGTCATGCACGTGGCTTGGTTGCCCCCAGGACGGCCGTTGTGGCCCCGACACAGGGCGAGCGGAAGCAGCTCTTGCAGCATCGTTGTACATGGAGCTGCCTGACCTTTCTGCTTCCACGAGAAAACGCCCCGTCGGAAAACATTTATCTCACTACATAAACAACAGAAAGTCTCCATTCGGAAAGAAAAATAAACATAAAGACTTACCAAAACAAAATAAGCAATCTCATTGCTCTGAAAAAATCTTTAGAAAGTGCAAGTGTACTCTTCAAAAAGACATTTTTAGGCTGTTAGCTAATTCTCCGGGCCATATGTAGGAGAACACTGGCTGCAATGCAGGAAGGACTGGTAGCCACCCAGCAATGCAGCAAAGTTCCGGGAAAGGAGCCACCACAAGCAGTTGTGCATGAGACCAGCAGTGGGCAGGATGTGGAGTGGCAGCCGGGGCAAGGAGAGGGGGCTAATGGTTGCAGTGGCCCCTTTCAGTCAACCGAAGAGGTTGCAAATCGGCTACCCAGGCATGGTGATCCTATTTGGAGAAAAAGGCGTGTTGCCAAACATTGGAAAAACACCAGTCAGCAGCAAAAAATGCCTTCCAACTATTTGTAAAGGTGGGGTTTCCCTTGGAAATGTTCTTTACTCTTGGAGCCATCAAGTCCACCCTAGCCCTGTTCCTTGGGCTACACAGGGTGTGCCTAAAATTTTGTGTTATCTTGTGTATCCAGGATGCGCGCAGTGCTGCAGGGGTGAGGAGCCCCAAGGGGAAGGGACTTGCCCTTCCGAGGATCGCACCTCTGTGCACCACAGATTAAGTGAGAAGACTCAATATCTGCTGTGCCTGCGTCGGGCCCCTGCTCTTGTGCCATTATCATCACACCACTGTTTTGTGCTATGCGCAGGGCCTGAGCTCTCTTGCTCCCCTTCTACACTGGTGCAGCTCTGTTCATGATGGCGTCATGGATCAAATCGTTCTAGCTTATTAAAATGATGAATATCCAGGCTTTTTTATAAAGCATGTAATTTACTGATTGCATGGGAACATCCAAAGAGGAACACAAGTACTCCAACAAGTAGTCTCTAGAGATGTTATTCAAATCTTCCCCGCAAATGATAATTAAAAATTCTCTCCATAATTCATTAAAATAATATTTGTAATGCATAAAATACAATAGCCCCAGAACTATTTGATTTACACGTAAAAAATAAGCATTTCCCACAGGTCTAACATATAGTCTGATAGTGCTGATTTATTTGATACATAATACTATCCCTTAAAAAAAAAGGCTATCATATTGATTCATTATATCATCTCTGTGAAGCTTTCCTTAATTTTCCACCAAAAACTAATATAAAGAAATTAATTTTAAAGATATATTTGCAGCTACATAGGTTTTTAGCCTCAAAATAAAAGTGAAAGGCAAGAAACTAGAAGAGGAAGGTTACAGTGTATATATCACATACAACAAAAATATTTTGATTGCAATTTTCCATTTATGTTCAGTCCAGTGCATGATACATTTCTGATCAGTTGTGTGCTATAAAGGGAGAGATCCCAGTCCCACTCATCAGCTAGCATTAGCTCCCATCAGAGGTGATTTTCTGCGTTCATTTATCAGCATGTTCTGGAATTTCTGGCTCCATTCCCAGAGCAAATACTTGGGAACATGAAAGACACACTAACTTCAGTGGACTTATGGAATCAGAAAAATCTATGCTTATTTACTAACTACTGTTTGCTTTGCTTATATTTTTCTCTCAAATTCTATTTTGTGTCATATTACATGCTCTATTGGATAGCTTCCTATTGCAACAGGTTCACAGACCTGGAGGTCAAAAAATAGGGTCACTGTTGTTACTGTTATAATTAGTACTGTCACTATGTTCTGACACTAGAGGAAATAAAGTCTAAATATCAGGGAATAAAACTAACCTCAGTTGTTTTTATTTTTGTGGAGTTAATAACATGGAATAGTGTAGCATTTTGCAGCAGCTCCTTTTTTTTTTTCCACACAGAATCCCATGTGAACGGATAAAACAAAGGTTAAGGGGCACCTTCTTTCTGCAGAAAGAGTCGACTTAGTGGGTGGGTTGGAGGCACCAGCTCCATTGGCCGTTTGCTGTCGGCGTCCTTAGCCCAGATGTCCGCTCCGTAGTCGATCAGCAGGCTCACCAGCTCCGGGCTGCAGCCCCGGGCAGCCGCGTGCAGCGGGGAGTCCAGGCCCTTGCCACTGTTCACATTTGCTCCTGGACACAAAGGAACAACAAGGAATAACGACAATGTAGGAACCTGTTCTCAGGTCCCGCACTACTTGTTGTTTCCCTGACCACTTGTATGGAAGTGGTTTGCACACTTTGAAGCAGAGTAACTCAGCTTGTGCTGGTCTGGGAAGCGACAGAGTTGTGATGACTTAGGAAATCATCTCAGAAGAATGGTGCATGAGCAAGTGTGATAGCCTTTCATCCACAGCCCAGAACACAGATTTCCCGAAGCGGGACGAAGATGTGTTTCCACCTGAAACCCTCCTCTAGTCCCCAAACCACTGCCCCATTCTCTTAAATCATCTCAGGGTTTAAACTTACTCTGTACTGGAGTCCTAACCCAATGGGATTTCTAAGTATCGAATTGACCAAACCGTTGGGGAGGGAAAAAAAAAAAAGAGGATGGAGAAGTTCTAGGTGTGTTGGTAGAGGAAGATATAAGCACTTGCAGATGGGTGTTCTCCAATCCGTCATTTTGGTACTGATGGCCCCAGAAACACAATAAGGGTGGGTTGCAGAACTTGCAGAACCTGCAAAACTATCTGTGTTTCTTAACTGCACATTCTCATACAAAGAAGGCAGAAAAAGCACAAAATGGCAGAAAACAGAAACAATCCTTTTTTTTTCTTTTTTTTTTTTTTCCGAAGTGGGTTTCTTGCAATATTTGTGTGGCTGCATTATATTACATGGACCTTTTGGGAAGAAGAGAGGGACTGCTGTAGATAGCAAGGAATGGCCTTGTATAATTATCTGAATGTTCAGCCTTATACTAGACTTGTTTCGTGCTAAGAATGTAATGCTCAATATTTTTCTGTGCTGGACGTTTCAAACTTTTTATGAAATAAGTGGGAATTAAAAACATTTTTGCAGAAATAGCAATAGTTACTTACCTGACTCAAGTAACTTCTTGGCACAGCTTATTTGCTGGTTTTCACAAGCTACATAAAGTGGAGTACCCAGATGTTTGATGTTGTGATCTATATTTACTCCATGGGATGCGAGGAATTCGACACATTGCACATGACCTTAAAAGGGAAAAAGGAAGATCAAATCACAGCAAACGGTGATTTTTCAATAGTTCAAATTCTCTGTTGCAACAGGGTAATCTGGAAAGAATCACTGTTTTGACAAGAGGGTAGTGTAATTCTTCATCCTTTCCCCTTACTCCAGTGTTTTTGGCTGGGAAACAAGAGCTACAAAGCCACAGTTAATAAAGACATATAAGCTTCTTGCACCTCCTCTGTCTCATTTCAGATGTCTACCTAAGAAGAGCTGAGTCATGTCCCACAGCTCGTCTGGACCATGAATCTCTTTGAAGGTGTCACCAAATGAACACTGAGGCCGTGAGAGCCAAGGCGAGCTGTCCTCAGTTAATGCTGAGGTGGCAGGAACTGTGTTGCTCTTGATGAGACCCGATACAGGAGTATTTCATATGACCTCAATCATGCTAGCAATTTTCTCTGTTGCTCTTTTCCGCTTGGACCTTTTGGTAGCAACACGGAGAGGAGCGATGATACCCACAGCGTTACCTCGCTTAGCAGCTTCGTGGATGGGGGATGCTAAGTCACAGGGTGGATGCAGGCTGGCTCCATGCTGCAGCAGTAAATTCAAGCAAGCCACACTGCCACTGACACAGGCACTGAACAAAGGAGTGTGCCAGTCCACAGTAACACCATTCACCTGAGGGAAAAAATCACAAGCAGGCTTTTTCTTTCCTTATCTTCTCTATGCATGATTACTATAACAGAACAGATGAAAATGGCCCTGTTTCTCAACAGAAAATAGGTCTCAATAATTTTTATTTTATTTGTTGCAGAAACTGTCTAATGCTTCCAAGGATTCCAATTCTGTATTAAAAATTCTTAAAAAAAAAAAAAAAAAAAAAGTAAAAGAATTGCCCCATTTCCCCTTCCATCTCTGCAAAGAGAAAATATAGCCACTGTAACTCCAGGATCTCACAGGAGTTACTGAGAAATGTGTGACTATTCCTCAGGCACTCCAGTTCAAACACACCCGCCTACACCCAGTCCTGCTGCGCTGGGGCTCCCGCGTGCACCGCAGTGCTTTGCCAAGAGGAGACCATGGTGAATCCTCAGAGAGGTTGTCCCGAACAAGACAACTCCAGGAGGACACTTGGCACCTCATCTACACCCTCAGGAGATGCAGCATCATTGCCGGTTTGAAATAGCCAATTTTTAGCAGAAAGTGTACAGTCCCCTTTTTAACTTCAAACTGAAAAGTAGTAGATGGACAATGAGTTAACTTTTTTTATTCACTGTAATTTTGATACTAGGTTGCACAATAGAGGCTATGAGGGCTAGATGCCCATTTCATCATTTTACATGTTATTTCCATTTCCTTCCCTTTTTATTGACATTTGATCCTAACAATCTTACATCTCAGCTTCAGATTCTGTGTATCAACATCAGTGGGATTAGTATTTTCAGAAAACAAAATATGTACTTTTTTTTACATGATTACATACCATTTTCAAGGGGAACTTAATCTTTCAGTAAACAATGAGTCTATTGAACCATGATCTGAAGAAAAACAATTTTTATTTGTATTTGTGCCTTTGGAATTTGTATCTATACTTTTGTATCTGTGGATGTCTTTTGGATTGCCTTTTTAAGTATATTTTATTACATATGCCCTTTCAGCAGAGCTTTGCAGTGTGTAAGACACAGCAATGCACAGCAGTGAAATAGTACATCATCCAGCAATAAAGTGCTTTAATAAAACAGCCCAAAGCTTGGAGGCTTGTCCATCATACACTTACCTGAGCACCATGTTTTAATAAGACACTGGCACAAGCAGCATGGCCCCCTAGGCAGGCTTCATGGAGAGGAGACACCTGGTCTGCTGTAAGCAGATTGACATTGCTTCCCTGATGAAATAATAGAAAATGCTGTTACAGGAAACCCACCAAAAAGAAAAGAAAATTTTATATAGTCACCTTTTAAAGTTTTTGTAATCTCGCCTTCCTCAACTGCCTGAGGTTAATTCATGTTTCCTCGATAGGTAAGTAAAAGAAAGCTAGGAGACTTTGGCTGTAGACAGTATTTTAGAGGCCTACTATACATTACTAAACAAAACTGAAAGTTTTAGCCTTTCTGCCTGGTGCCAAATGCCCCTTGAGACCCTATGGGCATCATTCTAGGCACTCAGAATTCTTTTATTTCTATTGCATCACAGATAGCACACTTTGAAATAAAAAGACGAAAAAAATGTTATTTGTATTGTTTATGCAATCATGATTGACACCTATTTACATCACCATCCCCAGCAAGTTTGTGATTATCTATTTGGAAAGAATTCTAAAATGGTTTTCACTTGTTTTCCAATTTCCGCTGTTTAGCACATTTTGAAGGAAAGTCAGCCTCTGCAAGAGAAATGATTTATTTGATTCAACTGTGGGTTCTTTTCTTTTTAGCAATCTTGGCCCTCCAGGAGGTTAGGCTAGAAGAGTTTTCAATCACTCTTCCCTTTCTGGCAAGCGCTCCACAAGGCCAAGAATCCAATCTGAAATTCAAAGAATCAGAGCAGTGATGTTCAGAAATCCCTTCCCTCTGGCCATTCCCTTCTGCAGGGGCAGTGTGGGCCTAGGATACCCTCGGGCACCACAGATGGCATGATGCATGGATGTGCCAGTGAGTGAATCGATGCCTCAGCATGGGTGTGAGGAACTGCCTGCAGATAAAAAACACCCATCAGGAGATTTCATTACCCCCTGCCCCATCAGATCGGAATGATTTAGCAACCCTGGATGTTTCACACTAAAACACAACCTGCATTCAACAAGTGACCAAGTTCAGTAGTGTTCATATCAACCTAGCAAAGGGATACCTGGTTGATGAGCTTCTTCAGAGTAAGCAGCCGCCCATGGACAGAGGCATCATGTAAAGGAGACCAGTCTGAGACAAAGTCTGTATAAAGGGAAAGACAGGGCAAAGGCTAACAATTCCATGGACTATTTCACCAGTACATTTCATGTCAAATGAGTGCCCTCAGGAAATCTCTCTTCTGATTTGTTCCTAGAACTATTAAGTTTTGCTTGGAGCAGCCATCAGGAAGTGGCTGAAAGGAGTGAAAAAAAAAGCATGACCTCTATGGGTGTATTTTTAATTCATTCTGTTAGAACTAAACAGCTTTGTTCCATTAAGAAGACAACAGAGTAATTTACAGAGCATCTCCTTGTTCTGACTGAACTTGTCCCTTGCTTTGAATTATTTCCAGTGTCTTGGTTTTCACAAGCTCCTTACACTTTTCCAATTAGTCCAAAGGAATATGTTTTTAAAAGGCAACAGCTGCTAAATCCTTTACCTCTACTCAGAGATGGGCTAGTATCAACAGTATTTAATTGTGGAAGGTGTCAAAGTACAAGGAGATAAATTGTGTTACCTGTTGATTTTAACTCTCAGTTTTCACTGTTCAGTGTTAGCAGAGGTGGTTAAGTAATAGCCATATTCCCTGAACCATGGAAACCGTGGTGTGGGATACAACACACGCAGAGAGAAATTCAGGAGAAGGCTCTGCCTCTGCTTTTTGTTTTCTTACTCAAACATTAGTGGGGAAATGAAAGCAGTTGGGATGAACTTAAGTGGGAAAAAAAAAAAAAGTGCATTTCCAGGAAACATTTTTTATGGGGGGGTGGGGGGGGGCTTTCCTCCAAAGGAAAGTGTGTGAAGTGCAGGTTTCCTCACTGCTTCCTTCACTGGGGAAAGGCAGCAGGGAGGAAGCCTGTCCTGGGACACCTCTAGCCCAAGGCACAGGGTGAGATTTTCGCCAAGTACATTGCAAAGAAACTATTCTTGCTGCTAAGATAAATGCACTGACACATTTGGTGCCCATAGAAAGGTAACCTTGCTAGACTGTGTAGGAGACAAGGAAGGCCCACATGAGAAACAGGTTTTTAATGACTATTTCCAAGTGATCCTGGTATTTAGAACTTGATGTTCAGAAAAGTCTCACACACCAAAAACCATTACTGGAAAGGTGTCAGCTTCACTAGAGTGGGATTAAGGTGGTTTGGGAGGGAATCCTTAGTGTCAAATTTGGCATCAAACCTGTCAGATCATATTGAGTGCTTTTCTGAAAGATTTATTATTATTATTATTATTATTATTTTAGGGAGGGACGCAGACTTAAGAAAGATTTGATTATTTTATGAGGCTACCTTTCTATCATACCCCAATTATACTGCATAACACAGTGCCCTGGGGAAATGCATAACTGCTACTGACTTTTACATTTCATTTCCCCAGTTTTTGTATTTGTTATTTTACCATAGCAAAACAACCCAGTTTAGTGCTATGGACCAATAAAAGGGGACCTTCCATACTACGGATTTCACAGCTCAGAGTGGACAGAGAGCACTAATGCCTCAGGATGATATTCACCTTTTTCAACATTCATTCATTCAAAACTTAGGGTCTAGTCTAAGTTAATGGCCCAGGTTTCCCCTGGGAAGGAAAAGAAGTGTCCGCAGAGGGCATTTCATCCAGCTTGTGTTAGAAACACATTTTCCTGCCCACCGCAGACATCCCTCTCTGCCTCCATTAAGTAAAAATCTCAAAGACCAGCTCAGGCAAGCTGCCAAGGTTTTCATCAGCTACACATCTATGAGGTTGCAAAAGGCCTGTTATTCATTTAATTACTCTTGTAAGGGTCCTTTATGCTTGTGGAGCATATTTTTGTAGAGTAATACATAAAGGCGAAAGTATATTTCTGCTGCTCATGTACATCATTTTTAACCCACTAGATTTTTATCAAAATGCATATCTGCATAGCATCCTCAGCTGATAGAGAAATATTGTCTCTGAATAATGGCTTTTTGAAGGAGCTAATTTTATTGTGTCCCTTCTTGGATACCAAAAAAAAATTGAGTCGTGGTAAGAAGCAGCTATCCAAAGTGGCAGTAGTCACACATACATTGCAAGAGGAAACTAGACTGGTCCCTGTGATACAAAGGAAGTAATTTATGTAAATATGTAAAAATACAACCAAGGATATTTCTATATGTCTGCAGTTTAGTTTATATAAATAAACATATACATATATATATACACACACATATTTCTACAATCAAAACTATCACTGGACATCCTTGGATCCAGAAAGGAAGTTTATTTTGTGTCCACTGGAGACTGACCATGGCTGGAGAGAGCGTGCAGACCCAGTGGCTGGAGGTTTCATTACCTAGTCAGTATATCCTGCTTCTGGGTACAGCCAGAAAGGGTATCAGCTCTAAAAGATGGAAGAAACACATCTCCAAGAGCAGGAGGGATCATCACACACTGGGGTTTGTGCTCCGCTGTGCATGACCGCTTCCTGGGGCTCAGCACAAAGCCCAAATACTTAACAGATTGCTCTTATAGAGCCTTCTCCTGCTCTTCATATGCATTCAGCACAGCTGTGGACTCCAGTCTTTTCCTGTAGGTCACGTTTGTTGCCAAAGAACTGACAAAATCTGTTGGCTGCATGCTGAAGATTAGGTTTTTCTGTGAACATTTTGAAATCAGATATCTATTGCACTGCTTCATGTGATTGGGGGGGACTACTCAAATTTAGCGGGCAGATCTGTATTGCCAAATAAAGAGGGCCAGGAATAAAGAGGGCCAGGAAGACACAGCAACATTGAACTGCTTTTCATCCATGTGCTTAATTATCCTTATTGTTCCAGGCGACTCCAAAACAATACAGCAAATGGCTCAGATAGATAAATACTTCATACCAAAGAAAGCTCCCCAAGGGACTCATGCACCAGATTTGGCCCCTTCACCCTGCATAAGCTTTCCTCCATAACATTGTCCCAACACGTTTTATACATACAAATATCCTTCCTGCCACAAAGTCATGCCCTTAGCTTCATGACATGAAAATACCACTCTACTAAACTGCAACATGGCCCTCATATTATTTCAGAGACTTTGAACTGGAAATATATACCTAAAATAATAAGGATGTCTCGGGGCAATCAAGTGAGGCCCATAGTGTGGATGTGGTCAGTTTGCTCTCAAGTGAGGATGTAAAGGCAAATCAGTCTACACTGTCTGTGCTCAAAGACAGAAATGGTCCCAGTCTCCTTCATTTAGCAGTATAGAAATAGCCAATGACAGTACACATCGGGTGGTCCTTTCCGATCTTGAATTCCTATGAATATGAAAGTCAAAAGGAATAATAATAGGAAAATGAAGAGCAACTGAAAATTCACGGGCACAGAAAGATTTATCAACTAAGGTGTAATTCACATTTGGGAGAAGCCTCAAAATTTGAGGGTGGAAGGGTGGAAGACTCCAAACCCCAATACTGCTTCATGGGCTGCAGTGAGCACATGAAATGAACAGATGAATGAAGTCAGGAAGTCTGTGTAATATACTTTGCTTAGCTTTTAAAGAAAATTGCATTCTTTGCTAATGGAATCATCTGGGAACTGCTTGCCACCTTTGCTGTGTTCCATAGTCCATGCTTCCCAACAAATGTACGGTTGCAATAAGTTCATACCCCTTCTTTGTTAAATGAAAAGAGTCAGCGATCTCCAGAGCTATGGCTCATTAGGACAGAAGACCAAGTGATGCTGCAATAATTAAAGCACAATATGGTTATTAGTTCATTAAAACAGCTTAGGAAAGGTGGGCACTGTGTGTTGTGTGCAGTGGGATTACTGCCCCACATTTGTCTGTGCTTTGTCAATGATTCTCACATGTGCTATGTGAGACAACTCATTTCAGCCATGATCAGAGTGGGTGAAAAGCAAACCCCAGAATTATCACTAAGTAGGAGTGAAGGCCCTTGTTCTTGGGAGATTTTCTGGAGGGAGGATGGCAATATGCTCAGAGACAAAACCTCACCTCTCTCCAAATATCTTGAAGCTACGTCAGGTCCGCAAGGCTGCCTCTTCAGGGGCCAGTGGCTGCCATGCTGCCCTTCATACATATCCTGACTGTGTTACTGTTGATGCTGTCACAGAGTCTGCCAAAAGCCTCAGATTTTCCTATTTAGAAACAAATGTTTTTGCAAGATCTGCATGAGTTGCGATGGATGTATGCTTACAAGCCATTCTTAAAAGTTAGACCGAATAACATGTTTTCTTGATCTTTTTTTGGCAACACAGACCCAGACAGGGTTTTGAGTTACCCAAAGCATTGCATTGATCTATCAGGTTCTGGTAAAGAAGAGGGAGATGTATGGTCACGCCATCACAGCCATATGCAGATCTTATCTGTTCAGATTTTTCTTGAGAAAGGGCAAGTTAATACTGAGACTTAACCAGACCCAGATCAGGCTACAGTTGTCTATAGACTGACCACTAGCTTGCAATTTCATCAGTTCTTAAAAATAGATTAAAAGTTCAACAAATTAAAAACAAATATCAGTATAAAATAAAAACAGGTATGTGCTAATCTGCTCTAAATTCAGCTGGGAATTCTTCAATTAGATGGACCAAGGACTTTATCATAAGTAAAAGTTGAGACCTAAGGCGTCTTTAAACCAGTCTAGGATACACTGGTGAGGATGCTGGTTATAAAGGCATGTTTAATAATTAGAGTTTGCCGTGACCTGTTGCGTTCCTGCCCCAGCTCCATTTGCAGCAAACACATCCCCCTGAAAGGAGTCCAGAAAGACTCCCTCCTCCAGAAGCAGGCAATTTGCCCCAATCCCTGCATCCAGGGCACCACCCTCAGATTTCTATCTTCTCCCTGCTCTGTTCTGCAATTTCTTGTATTTATTTCTTACCTGAAGGAAAGAGACTGCACTGGAAGCTGGGATCTCACCGCTATTTCTGTGCAGTACAGTGGGTACACCATCAGTAATACAAATGGTCAGTATTTAGGCCATTTAAAAGCTTCTGAGTAAAACCTAGGTAAATGCCAAAGCTATTGGCCATGTGCTTTTTCCATAATGAAACAGTGATTTTCACAATAGTCCTCAGAACACCCTGCCTGTGAGGGAGCAGCAATTTCTGATTGCCAAAAGTGCTCTGCCACACTGGAACAAACTAGTTTATCTAATATTGAAATTTACCCAGCACCTTATCCATGGACATGATAAGCCACGTGTGAGGGCCCTCAGCATCTAGAAATCTAAACCCCCAAATTCAGCAGCACTGGCATATCTAGCTCCCTTTTCACCACTGAAAATCCTAGCCAACACAGAGGATACATTAAACTTTGTATCATATTTGACTGCACTGGCATCGCTTGGGCATTTGAATGCCAGAAGCATATACAGAGGGAGCCTTATGTCCTCAGCCACACAAACATGCAGCTCCTGACTGCTCCCTGTGGACGACAGAGGGTTCCCAGTGCCTTTCTGGGAGAGCATTCATTTTTGTGGTGAGACTTTGGAGCATCTTTTTCCAGCCTCTGATCACATGGATAATGTCTCACGCTGGGTGCCTGCTCCTCCATTGGTTCCTCCAGCAGTGCTCTCATATGGGGCATCTCCCGAGGGGCTCTGAAAACTGTTCAGCTGAAGCACGCTCTGGTACACACACTTGCATAACATGCATGCTTATGGCATTGGACATTACAGTACTGAGAGGTATTTTTCATATCTAAAAGCTTTTGCAGGAAGTTTGTGATATATATAGCCAGAGCCAAATACATTCCTGTTGTAAGTCACCAGAGCAGCTTCCTGGATCTGTTTGGGACCAGGTAGACCCAAGAGGTATGGGATGAACTCGCCTTTCCAAAGGACCAACTCCTTGGTGTGCAGCAGGGCATCTCTATTTCCCTTGAAGCTGCACAAAGCCTGGCACCATTTTGCCACAGCTCCTCTCCAACGTGGACCTCATTTGGTTCACGTTGTTGGTAATGATCCTCTCCTTCCCCACTCACCCCAGTCTTGTGCACCTGCATGTACATACACACACACAAGGAGAACAGACTGAACAGCAAACATAACAGTCATCATTGCATTGCACGTTGTCTCTTCCCGTCTTTACGGCCCTACTTTTCTTTCTGGTATGAATGGAAGAGTTGTGAAGAGCCCAGCAAAGGAGTTAGAAGAGTGTAAAGTCATGTTATCTTAACTCACCTCCTTGTTCCCACTGCACTGGCCATGAACTGAAGGAGCAACTTCTCAGAAAAGAGGGCTACAGGGAACACATCTAGCTGAATTGTTACATTTAATTACTTGTCTTTTGTCACCATGTCATATTTTCACAGGCTTCGGGCCAGACAACAGAGCGATGACCAGGGTGAAGTCATTTGTCTGAATTACGGTTCACCAGCAACCACAATTGAATAATGGCTGTGGCTAAACCCACTGATGCTGGCTCAGCCTTTGCCAGAATATTTCTGCCTGCCCATTGGAAAATGAAAAGGAGAGAGAAAGGGAAGGGAAGGGGAAAGAGGAAGAGAAGAGGAAAAAGGAAAGGGAACTGAGCCAATGCTGAGCTTTCAGCTGGCACTAATCTAAGGCAAACATTCCACATTGCATCTTCTTTCTCAGCTTGTTGTGGTTCAAATACTGCATTTGTTTCCACTTATATGAACTGTACTACAGAATCAATATTCCTTTCTATGTGATGCACAAAAGAAAAAAAAATACAATTACAACTATAAATAGCATATAAAAAGTCCATCTCAAGTGTAAGAACATGAGGCTGTTGTGTAGGATTGTAGGTGGACATCAAGGGGTACATGCCACACTAGACGGGCTTTGTCCTATCCACCCACCATGCTTCCAGCTTTGCTGGCAGAAATGAAGACTAGCAGCAATGGTACTTACCCCTCATCAGTGGGTTTGATAGAGAAATTGCAGATGGCTGGCAGCCGGCTCCTTGCAACTTGCTGGCGTTTTGGTTTGCTCCCTCATCATCCATCTCAGCTTGGGCTGCCCAATTTCTGCTTTTTCACTTCACAGTTGGTCCCAAGAGTTCAAATTCCATCGTCCTCAGCAAACCTCTGGTTATGGGAGTAATTTATTAAGCAGGCTGTGCGTGCACAAGTCAAACAGACCTTGCAGCAGACTGGAACGTGGTGCCGGCAGCACTTTGTGCAGAAACTCGAGCACCTGGGTTGGGATTTCATGAAACGCCTCCCTCTCTGGCTTGGGAGGCAGCCAGCAGCCAGGCAGACCACACTGTGCAGAGCAAGAGACGTGCCTGATGTCATATCCTTCCCAACGCTGCACCCAATCGGGACGCCTGCCGTTCTGCTTTTATCAGGAAGGAAATTCTTAGTTTGCCAAAAAAAAAAAAAAAAAAAAGGCAGAAAGAGCCAGTTCAACTAGTTCAGCAAACTCTGCCTGCAGGGGATTTGTAAAGAAAACCCAGAGAGATACTGGTGTGCACTGATCTGCACCACTCCCAGGCGAGTGGTTCAGAAGGCAGCTTTGCCCCTGCCTCTCTGAACACCGTGCAGCACGCAAAGCCACTGGTGTTATCTGGAAAGCCCATGATGCTGGGTGAGAAATGAGCTCTGAATTCCTCGTGCTTGTCAGTGGTCGCCGCATACCACAAGGATATTGAAACCACATGTTTGTAGAGCTGCGTTTTCCACTGGAAAAGTCCTTTCCTGCCTCCGCGGCATGAAAAATGCAGCCTTATGCAGGCTGCTCTCCTTCTACCCGCTTCAGTCTGTTCCACTGAGCCACAGTCATAGAGATAGTTTCATATCTGAGAGATGCCTTTTTTATTTATAAGCAATTTCTCAGACTAAAATAAAACCCACAAAGCTACCGTCAAGTAAATAGCAACAGGCCTCCAACTCATTTCTCTGAGTGTTTACATAAATCCTGTCCTCACAGATCATCTCTATTTCCACTTTTTTTTTATTACCAGATAGGTATAATTCACACATGTGAAATCTCTTTGCTCTACCTGAATATTTATTCATTTGTGTACAAGCAGACTTTACACTGCATGTAAAATGGTTGCATATAAAACCTCAGCCATGTAAATAAAATGAAGGTTTTCTTAAATTTGCCCTGCAGGGTGGAATTTGTATTGCTTCCCATTCTTAGGCAACTGGATTTCATTTCTATTCTATTTATAACACATACAAGATATTCAGAATCATTTTTAGACTTTTTTCACGTATCTTAAACAAGTCCATTACATTAATAGACATAAATAGCAGTTCAATTTCACCCACAAATGCTCTCTGTAGGGAATGTGTAAAAGAAGCCTGGAGACATCCTAGTGCACAACTGGTGATCAAGTACGGAGGAAGACAAGACCTGCCAATTGCCTTGACTTCTCAGTGTGACCTCACATGCTTGATGCAAGTTTTAACACTTTGTTCTGATTGGTGTATATGTTTGTGTCTGAACCATTACAATTCCAGTATTAAAAAAAGTTGTGGGAAAACTTACATTTGTGAAAATTCAAGAAGGTGCATAAATATGGATACTGGCCATTACTGTGTTGAGAGTATTTTTTCATTTGCAATTTTACTTGAGATTAGTGGTTAAACTGCTACAACTTACATTTAATCACATATTTAGCCTCATTAGAAAGCACACCAGCTCTGGTAGCACTAAAAGAGACCAGTGTATGTGTGCACGTATGTAATTATAGGCATCATAAGTGAAGAAGTAATAGCTAAGACCTTTGAGTTCAACCATATGAACAGAAAGCCTACATCATGAAAGGCCCTTAGTCCCTAGCCATCCAAAGATAGAGAGACTTTCACCACTTAGTCCTTCGACGAAGAGAGCTACTGGCTGATAGGGTAATCATTTGAGTAGTATGATATTAATTGAACATATTTGGATCATGTTCTGTTAAATAAGTCTCTGTCTTGACAGATGAGCTGTAGTCTGATCTTTCTGGAAGCTGGAATGGTTACACAAAGCAGCTAAAGGTGTGATAAGCCCATGACTACTGCTCTGGAAAGACTAGCTATTGCCTCCTTCCATTAGCCCTTCTGAAAGGGGTAGACTCATAGCCTTCAGATCTACTTCATCCTGAGCTGTTGGTATTCTGATTTACATGGAAGAGTAGATCAGAATGAATCTATATATCATGGAATAAATAGATACAGGTATCACAAAAGGTTTTTCTATTTTAATCACACTCCTGACAGCACCAGAGAGGTGGACACCTGAGCAAAGACACAATGACAGCTCCATTTACTCCATCCAGGCCTAGAGCACTGGGACTCCCTTCTGGGTTACAGCAGCACGCTCAGAGACATCACTCTTTGGGCATGCTTTCCTCCCTGGATCATGGTACATTTTCATATAACTAGATTTCTGTCCTGTGGCTGGCCCTGAGGCATAGGCTTAGTTGGGACATCTCCAGTTCCTCTTACAAATTCCTTCCACTTTTGTTATGTATTCTGGAAATATTTTACCTCAAAAAACCCTACCTGACTGATGACAAACTGGAGAAAAAAGTCCATTATCTGGGATGTAGCCATCATCCTTTGGTGCAAGCTAAATTTCTTCAGATATTAGCAAGTTCAGCAACAATTCTACCTAAAGCTAGACACTTGGTTCTGTGATAGAAAGAGGGGAAGGTAACAAGAGAGTATAAGATAGTACAGCTGTATCTTCAAAAATTTCATAAAACCAAGCAAATTCACACTCAAAGTCTCCAAACCAGTGTAACATTTTTATTTCAACTATGCACCTTATCCTTTGTTTATATTCTTAAAGTTTGTAGAACAATTTCAGATATGAACTATTTTGAGATGTGAGATAAGAAATTTGGGAAATAGATAAGTAATGAGAAGGAGCTATTACCTGTGCACATACAGCAGTGAAAAAGTTACTGCCTCATCTGTATCACTATCTTGAATGAGAGTTTCTGCAGAGTCAGCCAGTGCAAGGGAATTTAAGATACTCTCCAGTGCAGGACCCATTGTCCATTAGCATTTAGCTGATGCAAGGGGCTTTGCCCAAGTCAGGGTTTAATTTCACATTGTAGGTTGCCCAGAGAGGTTGTGGAGTCTCCTTCTCTGGAGATCTTCAAAACCCACTTGGACACAGCCCTGTGCCACGTGCTCTAGGTGGCCCTGACCCTGTGTGTGCAGGGGGGTTGGACTAGATGATCTCTAGAGGTCCCTTCCAACCTTAAGCATTCTATGATTCTATGTTTGTGTTTGTGTGTGTACATGTATATAACCAAATACATTATCTTTTACATAATTCATTTAAAAAGTCTCTCCAATCATTAGTTATGGTGGGAGGTCAGGAAGAGTACCTATTAAGGGACTTAAAAGCAAGTATTTTAGCAGACACTGAGAACAAGAGCTTCCTTCATACTTATTAAAGTAAATGATGCTCTACTTGGATTCACAAGCTGACCATCAAGTGAAGGAAAAATAGGCTGATTCGCTCTCTCTTGACCTGGATGTTGCAGGAGCTGTTCCGAGGTTTTGTCTTTGCTAAAATTGAAGTTTTGTGGTCCTTATTTATTATGAATGAGACTTACTTTCAAAACATAGGTCCATAAATATTTTTATTACTTCTTGAGAAAAAAACAGGTTCCTGACACTCCCCACCCATAGCATTCATTCTGTGTGGTGTCTCACCATTGCCCCCTCTAGCAAATACACATCTTCTCCTCAGCAAATCCTTTTCTGTTTGGTCAAAGCTCACCTTGCAGCAATTTTTAATGTCACATACATTAAAAATGTTGTTACTATTTACAGGTCTAGGGAGTCTAGTTTTAAAAGCTGTCAGTTGAGGTCTGTTGTAGAGGTACAATGAGTAATAAGGCAGAATTAACAACTTGGAGAACAGGATGGAGAACAAAGAAACACTGTTTTTCCCTGTGATTGAAAAACTGCATTTTCTTCTCTTTGCTGTGGTTTTCCCCACTACTGTATGGCAGCCCAGAAATCAGGATGTGAGGTTCCTAAGACCACCGCTGTAGCACTCATGCTATTTTCTCCCAGGACTAAAGCCATAACGAATATGCCTACACCAGCATTCGAGCAGTCAAATGCAGCTGCCCTGCTAGCAGGTGCTTGGGCTGAGCCTGAGCTCTAGAGTGCGTCAGAGGGGAAGGTCAAGCCCTGAAATGCTACATTAGTGTAACCCCACGCTCTCCTTCATCGCGTTTGGGTGGATGGGACGTGCCCGGATTTGAGGCTGTATCCATCTTCTCCACTGATCAACCGCAGGTGAGTATTGTGAGAGGTTCTTGCTGGGCACTGAGAGTCTGTGAGAGCCCTAAAATCATTTAATTAGCCTGGGTGCTTTTTTTTTTGTTTAATGAAAACAAGAAATTCTCAAACAACTAAGGAACATGTTTTAACGGCAGCCTGAATCTCAAGATAAACAGCACACACAACTTCAGATACAGACTAGAAGCAGAGCTTACACAACACAGAGACACACCAGGGCTTTTACTCATTATAATAGTATTGTCCATGTAAATAGCACATATATCCCTATGTTTTAAAAAAGCTAGTTACAGAAATCACTTTGTTTTTACTCAGATGCAACCATCTTGTGTGGATGAAAGTGTACAATAAAGCCAAATATATGAATATATATTTGTATATGAATATATATATTATTCATATTACTTTCAATCTTCAATATTTCTTTCTCTGTTTATAGCATATCTTATAAAGTAGCCACATTCTTTTTTCCTTCAAAGGTAAATTTTTGTAAATAATTCAATGAAATGTTCTATTGTTTTGATTTTTTTCCCACTTGCTAATCAGCTTTGAAATTGAGCATGGCATTTATTCTATTACTTTTTGCAAGTTTGGACAAGTACAGTACAAGGATACAAATCACAGAAATACAGAAAATGTTTGGAAAATTGGACACAAATCATGGGGTTCATGTTTAAATTTAACTTTAATGCCTGAGCCAGGAACCCTAGACTTCCTTTAGAGTTAATGAATAGAAATTAGCAATTTAAATGGTGATTCATCTGACCTATTTAGATGTCTACTTTAGGATGATATAAATTGGGCCTTTAA